AACCTGCCACCTTACGTGTATATGGCTGGCACTTTAGCCACTTGAGCCACAGGCGCCGAGCCTAGTATACATTTTTAAAGAAAAAAACAACAGGAAAAAACTCCAATGTCAACCATTATAAATACACCAAAAAAAAAAAAAAAGACTAGAAAGATACCTGTAATTATTATAACAGGGATTAATTTTGGTTAGTGGAATTACATGGCTTTTTAAATCTCTTTTTAGCTTAATGAGTTTTATTACATTTTCTACAATGAACATCTGTTCATTTCATAATAAAAAAAGAATTTGTAGAATTTGTTCTTCCTTTTTAAGAAACAACTACCAACAAATTATAGCACATCTATACAAAGGAATATCAATGGCCATTAAAAAAAAAGTTGTAGAAGAATATTTATTAATATGAAAAAAAGTCTGATATGTTATTAGCTGACCATACTATAAAACAGTATGTTCAGGATGATCCCACTGTTTTGCTTAAAAATAAACAAACAAAATGTCTATGAATACATACAAAACACCCTGACAGGAAATATACCAAAATAGTAGTAGTGTTTTATTCATCTAGGCAGTAGATTAGATTATTTTTCTTATTCCTGCTTTGGTATTTTGGCCAATCTTCCTCTACTAAATATAAATTCCAATATGCAAAAAAAAAAAAAAAAAAAAAACTTTAAAAAAATCTAGATTTTTTTAAAATAAAAAGTTAGCTTGTCAAATAAAAGAGAGACAAAGATAAGCAGGGGTATCTTACTGAACCATGATCCTTCTTTATGAAGCTTTCCAGCTTCCCCACAGCTCTCCTATTTAAGTCTATACAAAACACGTTTCCTTCAGGCAAAGTAAGTCAACATCCACCCTTCCTCTTGTTCCAGACTTGGTAATGCCAGAGTGGGACATGGAATGAAGCAGCAGAGGCTGCCCCACCCAGCAGGGAAAACACATCATCTGAAACTTTTAACAAGACCCTGGTGGAGAAGAGGGTCTAGGGAAAAAAATTTAACTGCCTTCTTGGGCTGTAGATTTGATTACAAGTAAATATAATTTACAATCATTTGATTAAGGAAATGCACTATTTACGTTGCAAATAACATACTAACTAGAGAATTAGACTCTCAGACTTGGCAGAGACCTCTGAGATCATCTAAAGACAATCTCCAGCACACTGTCTTTAGAACGCTATGTAAATATTGACTGGAAACAATAACAGAGATGTCACGCCAGAATATCTTAAGTAAACAGTTCAAAAACCTGGCTTCCTGTTTATACAATTTTAAGTCACTTCACTGCTAGCCATAAGGTGATTCAGCACTCTGAATTTCTTGATTCTCATACATAATAAAGGGACTACAAAGGACAGCTGAAAAGCCGGAAGACAAAGGAAGGAACCAAAGTAAACAAGGATGTGTGCCCTTCAGCCCAAACTAAAAGATCTATCGACTAGACCGTAGTTCAATCTATTTCCAGATCACTGTCCTCACTATGACAGGCAGCAGAGTTACGCACAGATGTCAACACCAAAACTTCTTTTTCTGGGAGTAATCCAAATTCTTGGAGAAAGGCTTCAAGGTCTACAGCGAAGAAATCCTCCCCTAGCTGATCAGTGACACGAACAAAATTACCAATTAGTTCACCCCCCTTATAGATCAGTAGGGCAGGAAGGGCATTTCTGGTGAACCGGCTGCTGGCCCCAATAACTGAGCTCTTCACCCGGCAGAATTTGACAGCCGGGTACTCCGCTGCGAGGCAGATCATGCAACCATTCATGGCTTCGGTCCCTGGAATGCCATCCTCATAAATATGGACCATGATGAGAGTACTTTTCTGTTCTTTATCAATCATGTCTAAAAACCCTTCTCCACTAGGAATCTCAAAAACCTGCTTGAATTGGGGCCCCTTGTGAAGTTGCTGCCGCATCTCTTCCATTCTCTGCTTCCGGTATTGCTGCAGAAATTCTTCGTCATCTTGGTCCTCATTCATCATGGCAAACTCCTTCAGAGTCATCTATAGGAGGACCAGCAAGTGAACACTCAGGATAATAACAAACATGTACTGCATGCTTACAGTGTACAAGGCACCAAGCTAAGTGCTTTACATCTCACTGAATTCTTATAATAACCCAGTGGGAAAGGACTTTCATTATCCCCATTTTATACATGAGGTTCCAAGACATGATATTACTTGCACAAATTCACCCAGGGAGTAAGTGTAAGACCAGAGCTCAAATCAGATTTTAGAAATCCTGGTTTTAAATACCTTGCTGCCTCTCGATCTGAATAGGCAGCATCAGATATCACTGCATGAGTTTCCATCTTATCAGTTTTGACAATGGATTATTTTAGTCACCCTTACGTTTTTGTTGAAAAGAAAACAGGACATCAAGGAATTAAAAAAAAAATTAAAATCCCTGTCCTGAACAACTCCCCACCACACATACACTCCCTGAAAATTTTTCTTTTTATTACTAGTCACATGCTAAAATAGTTCTGCTTTTATAACAGTAGCCATGGGTATACTAATTAGGTTTTTGAAACTTAGATAGTATTTCTTCATATTTCCAAATATTTTTTAAAAATTATATATAGTTATCATATTTTGCTTTCCCACTCCCCTAATTCTGGCATCAGTTCTGTTCTAAGGCACTCTCTCGAAACTGAGCAGGAGCAGCCTCTCTCAAGACTGACTCATGTGGTCATATAATTTTGCCTCATTCTGGTCCTTCACCTCAGCATAAGGAAGCAGCTGTCAGTAGCATACACAATACCTTGCAGCCAGCTTAAATTACAAAAGCATCTTCCTTGTTCTGGCCTGGTGCAGCGATACCTCAACTCCCTAATAAATCCTAGCTCTGCCTGATCTTGTATAGATTAGTGGTTAGGCAGTGGGGACCACATTAGATCAAAACAGATGTTGTTACTATATCATAACCATTATGAGTTTACTATTTTACTTATATCCAATTTTCTTCCCATCTCATAGCTCTCTACTCTATCTTAGCCTACCAGAGTGGCTCCTTCTAACCTCTTAAGGTCTTTGCCAGAGTCTAATACCCTGAATCATCCTCCTGAATGACTCCTAGCTTAATCCTCTTACCTACCGCCTGATCCTGTCTGATATTTTAGCTTTGGGTTATAGCTAAATGATCTCAGGCACTCCTAGACATTCATCTATAGTCAGAGGCATAGGAGGAAATAAAGAACCCCATTTAACACTTAGAAGACGGGAGGACATCAGGGACCTTGTTCCAAGTACCTTCCAGAGTGTCTATTTGCTTCTATTATAAGACCTCCTTAGAAAATCTCTCACGAATAGGTTTCAGATGAAACAAAGCAACATGGTGGAAAGAACATGAAAATCTCAGTCCGAATCCTAGCTCCTGCTCCCATTTACCAGTTGTATAGCCCTGAACAAGTCTCTAAATACTCTCTACACATTGTTTCATCATGTGTAAACTGGGGATAATACCACTACCCTCAGAAGGTTATTTCTGGCCCAAAGTAAAACCTCAATAAAAGAAGGAAAACTAACATTCACTGAGCACTTTCAATGGGCCAGGCACTATGTAGGGCCTTTTACCCACACAGCCTAAGCAAGGATACTGACCTCATTTGACCAATGAAAAACCAGACTCAGAAAGGAAGAGACCTTCTCACAGTCATTCAAACAGCCAAAATTCAAACCCAGATGGGGCTGAGTTATGACATGGCTCTGTAATTCCTCTTGTACTGAAGCTTCTCAGAGGCCAAATCACTAACCTAGTTTTAGCAGCCCAGGCAGCTTCTGAGAAAAGCCTGAGTGCTGCTATTACCTTCCCACTGATCTTTTCCTGGAGGTCCTGCTGTTTCTGTTGCTCCTCCTCTTCATCCAGATGAGACCTGCAGGTCATGGACAGCTTCTTGATCAGCCTCTCCATCTCCCGGCACTGCTCCTCCCTTTGCTCTGTCTCCAACTGCTTGAAGCGGCGCCAGTCATTGATCACACCTTTTGGACCTGAGTGAGCATGGACAAAGACCAAAGACAGTGGGCTAGGAATCAGGAATCATTTCACATCTGTAGGTGAGAGCCAACCTCTGTCTGAAGCTTGCTCTATCTATTGCAGAGTTAATGCAGAGCCTCTGGGCATTCTGCCCAGTATAGACCACCGTGGTCTACATAAAATGATGAGCACTACAGCACAGTTTGCAACAATTAAAGGGCCAAGCTTATGCCCAACATTAGAAAACAAGTTAAATAAATTATAATTCATCTACTCACAGGCAATTAAAGCAACTCTTAGAAAGAACAAGGCAGGCTCGGCGCCTGTGGCTCAAGTGGCTAAGGCACCAGCCACGTACACCCAAGGTGGCAGGTTCGAATCCAGCCCGGCCCGCCAAACAACAATGACGGTTGCAACCAAAAAATAGCCGGGCGTTGTGGC